TACAATCACGCCAAGTTCCTAATCATATCTGGGAGTCCTTTTGTGATCTTGAAAACTACATAAATAACACATATTTTTGCAGCAGAAATGTACAAATAAAATATACAGACTATGAGGTAGATTTCAAATTGAATTTTGTTTATCTTTTTGTGTTCTTTTTAGTCATACCTACTCGTTAAAGGAAAAAAGTTCTACTACTCTATGTAAAAATAACGAAATAAAATACACCACGTGTTTTTGTATTATTATTCGCTTATAGCGAACTCCGGATATCACGAACCAGTTTTAGTTAATTTTTCAAGTTCGTTATATCCGGACTCAATTGTATTTCAGTTGTTGATACGAATTAATTTTTTTCTGTACTCTTACAACATCTCTAGGGGAATGACGCTAATTTTGACTCGCCCTGTATATGTACTCTGGCAGAATGTCCGGTCAGACATGCGCTGCTCTGTCAATGTCTATTTGACTTTGCCTTTATTCGATTACATTTGAATTAATCGTCGCACAAGCAAGGTACTTTCAATGGAAAGGTGAAAAGTGTCCCTCAATCGGTTAGGAATTTGTAAAACAAGTTTTTGTATCAAACATTAGTTTTTATTCCAATTTGAATTGCGCCAATTTCCCGTTTTAAGTCAGTGTCACTTTTACGACATGTCATTGGCAACGTTTTTTATGTTTGTGGTTTCAAAAAGCATAATTTTCCGCCTATTTTCCAAATAATAAAACTAGTTAATAGTGAAACTCCAGGTAAGGCGATAAATAGTGAAAACACAGTAAAAGTGTTTGTTGTTCTTCGGACCGTATTGTGGCGGTTTTTGATCAGTTCGATCAAAAATGCGTCTTCCAACACCACTATTGACCACTGAAAATTGTTTTTTTTTTAGGGTGTATAACGCCGATAGCTGGTATTTGAATGATTATTCGAGTTTTAAAAGACCACCGATGAGTCTATTTGGCAAAGAGGCCGCAAATAGGAGGGACCGGCTGATCCAAATACACAACAACAAACAAGATAATAAAGCGGCACTCAGTAATCTCATAAACACAGAGAGCACATCTCCAAGCGTCAAGCAACGAAGCAGCAGCAAAGAGCAAAGTGAGCGGCAACCAACCAGGACTAGTGCCAGCAATGCAAATAAAATAAGTAAGAGAAAAGACCCACTACATCTTAAACGCAATACTGTAAAGAAACCTGAGAATGTACAAGAAGAGAGCGACTCTACAACACCGAAACCCGAAGAAAAAAAGTCGAAGAAAAACACACAGAAGCAAACAAACACCAGAGTTCAAACACCAATTGGCCGCACTGATGCCAAAGAAAACACAAAAATACTTGACCTTGAAACTCGAACATCCGAGCACGAACCTGTGAGTAAAAAATCGAAAATTCAAATTTCCTCTTGCTTCGTTTCAATAGGCGACCTAAATGTGATCACTACAGAAACCTACTTGAGCGATTATCGTCCCAAGTTTCATGATACTTCAAATCCTGGCCAATCAACGAAGAATCACTCGCAACAGAGCAAGGCACCCCCAGTCATAAGAAGGCCGCGCAAACATCGATCTCACAGTTTAAGCTATGCCAGCTTACAGCCCCGATACAGGCCCAGGTTGAAAGCCAAATCGCTAACACATTTGCCCGATATTGAAACTTTGAGGGGTTTCAAAATAGACGACTGCGTGGCACGCCTTAAAAAGTCGATACCGCTGCAGAACATTCCAGCAAAGAATCATTTAAAAGTGGATGAACCACCGAAGAAAAGGAGACGTGTTCGCTCCGTGGACAGTTCAGATAAAGAGTGCGGGCCGAGCAAGCCAAAACAAGCAAAACCCGATTCAACAAAGAATCAAACATGCGAACAATCAAACATCAAAGGCCCAAACTCCCCGAGGCACAAAGCAGTAAGACCATCTACACGGAAGGAATTGCTCCTTTTCTTATTTGGTGAGGATTCGGAAACTGAGGATGGTTCAACATGTTCAGATGCAGGAACGACGCCTAGTAAAAAGGCGAGCGAATTTACTAGAGGTAGTGTTAAAAATGCGTTAGTAAAGGGCAAAAAACCACGGAGTCAGGAGGCAAAACCCACCAAGCCCGTTGAAGCTCGACTTAAGAGTAAAGCCAACAAACACTCCAGAAGGTCGCAAAAACCGTCGACTCACCAAAGCCCCATGTTAAAATGGCCCCAGCAGGGATGTACGAAGGAAATGGAACCATCGTTGATCCGACCTAATCCTCCACCATTCCATCAAGGGACCATCAAGAGCCCAGTTGCTAGTTGCACCAGCAAACCAAAGCCTGCTTCAAAGAGTGATATTAAATTGACTTCCCCTAAGGTTGTCGCCAAGCCTTGTCCAGAACCACTAATGGCAAAGCAGGAAGAAGATTTGACGAAATTCGAAAGCTGTCTTGCATTGTCTTTGCCAGCGCCGCCTGCCAACCAAACGGCCAAAATAGCCCATGAAGAGGACCTTTGCACATGCACCATTAACTCCGTGAGTGTGCAGGCTTTGCTGAAAAACGAAGTGGTTGTGAAAGAGGAAAAATCGAGCGGTTCAGCACTCCACACTGAACCCCTGCACAACGACGGTGCAAATGTTGAAGGACTTGCCGTTAAAAGCGAAAGGTTTGACTTGTACAACAGTTGTGTAAGAGTTTCGCTGGAAAACTTTCAAAAGTGTTTGGTGTCGTTCCAAACCGCTCGCGCGTTGCCCCCACTTGCTTGGCCTGCTAAGGAACAGGTAAAATCCAGTGTGGAAGAGCAGAGGTGCACCGAAAGATGCCACGTCAGCAGTGTTGCCACAGTGAAAAATGACTCTCGGGTAGTGGAATCTAGTAAATCGTCATACAGTTGTGCAGAGAGCACCAACGAGGAGGACGAGGTTCAGATAGTCTCCGTAACAGTTCCCGCAATTTCCACCAAAAAGACTGAAAGCGCCCCAAATTTTCTACCTATTTGCGTCGACCTGAAGTCGCTGGGCGTAGCAGAGATAACTTGCCCCGCCCCCAACTCAGAACACTCACTTGGCTCAGAGCCCAGCAACGTGCCTGAATTGCAACGCTGCGTAGATAACTATAATAACTCCATTTGCACTGCAACAACCGCCACCGCTCCACAATCTCGCTCCATAGAGCTAAGTTTGTCGTTCAGAGACCGCAATACCATTAAGGAAATCCTGTTCAATCACATCTACTTCTTGATTCACATATTTAATGCACAACGTGCTTACTTGAGCTGTCTTCAGAACCTGAGGCACTGCCAGCGCTATTTCGCGTGGGAGTTTAGGCTATTCGAAAATGAAACAAAGAAGCGCATCCGCAGCCAATCAATGCAGATGTGCAAGGAACTGTTAGAGCTGCACATTACATGTTCGATAAGCCTGCCAGCTACTGCTGAGGAGATTGTGAAAAATCTCACTAAAAAGCTGAATGCAGTGGACACGCCCCAAAGGCTCACCAAGCCAATGGTGCATCTGTGTATTTGGACTTTGATGAGTGAACACTCGGAGTTGTACGCAACAGTGCCGCTTTTCAAGTTGATTCTGAGTCATTCCGACGTGGGGCGCAAACAGTGTGGCACAACATACTCAGAACCGTTTCCCCTGCAAATGAGGCAGTTGTTGATGGAGCAGATTCAACAGTACAATGAGCTAGTGCGAACGACTACTAGGATGGTTACGCAGCAGTCTGCGAGCAGCTCCATTTTGTCTCTTTGCCTTTTGAGTCGCCCTACTGCCAATCCACCTCAACGTCCTGCTCCAGCCATTGAGAGGATGGTCCAAGTCCATCGGTATAAGCCGCCTCGACACGCTAATAGTGCCGTTGCTGAACGAGCGACTGCAACTCGGGCCTCTGGGGCTCCAAGCCTTCCCCCTCGAGTCACCCTTGCTACAAGCCAGTCTCCCAATCGCTCAACCGCGCTACCTCGCGTTGACAACTTCGTCTTTCCCATCAACGAGAATTTTAGGATCAGGTTGCCTTACTCCAGACCGTTTGTCTTAACTGCTGCCCTCGGTCCAGTTATGTCCACGGCACCCAGCCGCGTTGCCACCCTGCAGGATACGACGGGAAATCCGGATAAACCAGTGAAACGGCCGGTAGTTCAGGGCATAGCGGCCCTTCACAACATAGGAAGGGCGGAAGATATGTTGGCTTTCCAAAAAACTGAGCAACAATTAGTGGACACTCCCAGCCGTAGATCGAAGCTCGTGAGCCGCCAGCAGGAGAAGCCAGCATCCAGCATCATAAGTTCTCCACTTGCCTGCGGTGTTGGTCCTCCACCAGAGGAAGAGCAAAGGCAGCCCGCCCAGGAGGCTGGTTCAGAAGAAAACACGCGTCAGCCGAGTAACGCCGACGTGGAAACTATAGACTTGACATGGCTGGATGATATGAACGAAGAGGAGCTGAAAGACGAGCTGGACTATGCATTTGTTAAGACCGAACTCGATGGAAGCTGTGAGCAAATGGCTCCGAAAGAGGTAAAGGCTTGTTCTGCTAACTGACTGATGTCGCCGATGCTGCGTCACTGTCACGTATGTCAAACCATTCATATACGACACTTGCAATCAACTGTTCAGACAATGACATTCACGCCACGTCATTAATGTCATCGTTTGAACGAGCTGAGTTGTCTCATTCAGTCTGCCTTAGATTGCGATGTTCGCCGGCCTTATGAGGGCTAACAGTTAGTTGCTTTTCAGGGAGAGGAAGAGGTCACCTACACGTATGTCTATGACACGAATTTGTGCATTTGTGACGAGCCACCAAAGTATAGTTGCCACTGTGCACAGGCATGGTATTGCGGGAAAGCTTGTCAGGTGTGTATTAAATAGAACTTTCATTGTATATACTGTCCTGACTGTGTTTCAATTGCAAATCAAATTAATTCCTGGGTTTCAGTCATTTATTGTCTCTATTTATCAATCAAAATACGTTTCGGTGTATTTTTCCACCATCATCAGTTTTTA